TAAAATGTGGGTGAGGAGTAGAGAAGAGAGGAGACTTATTGAAGCATGGAGTGTGAGAGGTTGGGCCAGATTTTGGAAGGCCTTGAATGTCAGACTATGGAATTTATCAAAGCTGAATTTGCAGGTCATAGGGCCACAGAAAGTTTTTTTTTTTTTAAATAGTGTTGATGGACTTTATACGTAGTGCTAAGATCGAACTCAGTGCCTCATGCATGCTAGGCGAGCACTCCACCACTGAGCCACAAACCCAGCCCACCACAGAAAGTTCTGAAGCAAGAGAGGACACTTTACCACCAAGCAAAGTGTCCCACTTTACTTGAGTCCCTTTTATTTTTTGAGACAGGGTCTTGCTAACCTGCCCAGGCTGGCCTGGAACTTGCCTCCTGCCTCAGCCTCCTGAGTGGCTGGGATTACAGGCATGTGTCACAGCACTGGGCTTAGAACATTTTTATTGGAAATGCCATTCTTATAATAAAGGAAAATTAGGAAATAATAGGTTCTGTGTCCACAGAATACATACTTTTGACTACTTTTTCCTTCCATTTCTATAGATGTGTAAGAAATATTGATCAAATAATTTAATAAGTGGGATTGGAAAGAGTTCTTGTAGTAATGTCACTCGATTCACTAATTTTCCAATTTATATGTCCAAAATCCAGTATTCTAAGTTATTTTTTATCTATCTGCTGAAAATTCCACATGGCTCTCCTTCCATTTTGTTGGGAACAAAGAACTGGAATACTTGATTACAAAAGCATATCACTAACTACATGGAATCATTCACTTTCCCCCATCAATATGATGTCTTTGTCTCTCTATCTGGCCCTTTGGAGATTGTTATACCCATGACAAACCCAAAAGTGAGATTTTGAGTAGAAAAAAGTACTTTTTTCTTTTGTAAAGTGGGAGGGTGCTACTGTGAACAATTTTCTGAGTCATAACAATTTCAGAAAAGAGTATGTATGAAAGTCCAAGCTCTAGGGCTGGGGACCTGGAACACCGGCCTAGCACGGGTGAGGTACTAGGGTTCTACTCCTAGTACCATAGAGAAAGTTCGAGTTCTAGAAACAAGATTTCTGAAGGCTCTCTGTTCCTACATGCCCCTTGTTTGATGGCCTCTGCTTTAGGATGCCTTTTTGACCCAAGTATGTCAGTATTCTCAACCTCCTGTATCTCAAGTACAACCAACAGAGAACCAACAAGGGTCCACAGGGAAGAAACAGAGGCACCATATCCCACATTTCAGTGAGATACTGACTCTTATTAGTTGCGAAGCAGGCTGAATGAATGTTAGCTGCAAGTTGGGCTGAACACTCCGAGCCTCACCCGTCTGGCTCCTGAATGCTTGTTTGCCTCAAGTCTGAACTCAGCCCCCCACCCATCTGGTGCAATAGAAACCCACTTCTAGCCCCTGCCCAGTCTGCCTAAGGGCAGAAGATGACACCCTTAGCAATGACAGTATGTTCCAATCACTGCACACCAACAAGGCAGCTTGCAGACCCAAAGACCCATTAGATATTGGCTATAAAAACTCCTGCCAGGCCCTCTCTCTCATGCTTTGGCTTGCTCTGTCACTCTCTCCTCTCTCACCCCCCCTTTCTTCTCTCTTTCCCTGCTCTTTCTTCTTTCTTTTTCTCTTCCTTCCCTGTTAATCAGACACTGCCACAATAAAGATCTTTTGGTCACTGGAGTGTCGTGGTCACTTTCCTTTCAACTATGAGATTGTAGAGCTGCACAAACTGCATAGACTGTACAAAATTTTGATGGTTCACAGTAAAAATAGCTTAAAAACAAAAGCTCTGGCTTTAAAATCTAAACAGAAGGAATCATTCTATTAGAATAAAATAGAAACTATTTAAATAATAGCAGTGGTATTGGCAGTCTTCAGAAGGCAAACAACATTTGGAGAAAAATATGATCAAAAGAACAAAATCGGTTCTAAGGGAGGTTGGGCAGCAAAGTGACCCAAGGCACTGGTTCTCAATTTGAGTGGTTCTCAGTGTGATCCCAGAGAGGGCCAATGTCTTGTCATCATGACTTGGGAGAGGAGGAAGATTCCACTGGCACCTAGTGGGTGGAGGCCAGGAATGCCGCTAAACATCTTATGATGCCTAGGACAGCACCCTGTCCTAAGAAATTGTCCATCCCAATTGTCCATAGCAAAATGTCAAAATCTTGCAGGGGGCTGGGGATGTGGCTCAAGTGGTAGCACGCTCTCCTGGCTTGTGCGTGGCGCTGGGTTCAATCCTCAGCACCACATAAAAATTAAAGATATTGTGTCCACTGAAAACTAAAAAAGAAATATAAAAAAAAAATCTTGCAGGGATCCAGGCACGACTTGAGAGGCTGAGGCAGGAGCCAACAACTTTGGTCATTACATTATTGAGACTCCCCGGTTCTCCCACCTCCTTTCCTAAGGAAACACTGTTAGCGCATCAAGACCAGGACAAAGGAAAACCTCACAAATCAGCTTTATCCAGGAACAAAGTTTCACACTGGAGAAGGGGATTCAGGGACAAATGATGCCACGGTGGGACCCACTTTCCTGGAGGAAAATGAGCCCCCAAATAAAGGAAGGATCTGGGCTTGTATAGGTTATTCTGAGAGGTGGTCTAGGAAGCACATCAATCTTCTTTGTGAACCCAGGGATTTGCAGTTAGTTCTATCAATCAGCGAAGGGGTCAGTTTTAGTGCCTGGGAACTAAGGGTCTGTTTTATGGGGCGAAATGAGAGGGAGTCTAGGGTCAGTGATCAGTTTCTGGAATTTATTGAACTGGATCTGATGGAGGGCCTGGAGTCAGTGCTGGTATCTGGGAAGAATCTGTTTACAGAGGGTTAAATTCTTCAGTCTCTTCCCATAGATGCTTTCCAGGTTCCATGGAAACCTCTTCCTCAGGGTTTGTTTTATCACCGGGGAAAGAATACATTGGGAAAGGATTAATGCTCTCAATTCGTGGCTTTCCTTCTCACTCCCCTTTCCCCAGGTCTCACTACTTTTGGGGTTTGTCATTTCCCATACCTAATAAACACTTTCTCCATATTTAGAAAAAACAATAAACTTCAACCATCTTTGGAATGAAAAGAGATACATAAAGAATGTGAAATAAGTCTCTGGATTCCTTTTGTATTAAAAAAAAATTGTCTACCAGAAGAAGACTACACACTTTGTTTGGAAGGTGAGAATAATTAAATAATGACAAATATATATTATCTATTTTGATGTTTTATAAGGACAAGAAAGCTGAGATACTGTAAGAAGGGACCTGATCTAGGACCAAAATATGAATTATTCCCCAGCGGTAAAATACAGGGAGGGCTTCAGTGGGCCAACCTGACTTTCTAAATCACTTATTGTTACATAGAAAGCCTCAAGGTTAATTATGAAATATATAATGAAGAGTAGGCAAACCAGTCCACAGAAATCCCTCTGCCTATCACACTCACGGGGGCACTTAAGTCTTCATCACCCTTGTCTCTTCTTTTTTCCACTCCACCCAGCAGTAAATCACTGGCTTCACTCTTACAAATAACTTCCCCCTAGCCCATCACTATATACCCGCACCAAGCCCCCACTTCTTGTCTGGATTCATGAATGCCCTTGCCTTCTAGTCAATCCTTAATTCATTCTCTATATTGCAGTCATAGGGGATGTTCTTTGTTACTGCCTAAAACCTTCCAGGAGTTTCCACCTTATTCAAAAGGCAAGTTGTTCAGAGTGGCCCACAAGCCCATAAGGCAGCCCTCTTCTGTCTTTTCCCCTTGCTCTGCTCTACTCACCCCCTGCCTCTGGGGCTTTGCACTTATTCTTTCCTGACAGCGTGGCCAGCTCCTTCATTTCAGGTCTGAGCCTAAGTGTCCCTGGATCCAGAGGCCTGACTGCCCTAGGTGTACTTCTTCACAGAACGTGTGCACTCTATCCCTTTCCCCCCCTTTTTTTTTTAAAAAAAAAAACTTTTTTTTTTTAAGCAACTGCCTGAAATAAATGCCCCCCCCCGACAACCCCTCCAGGGCAAACTGGGTGCAGAGCTCGCTGGTTATGGGGTGCCCCGCCAAGCACAGCGCCTGGTCGTTGGGCCACTCAACACTTTTTCCGCGGGTCCACGATTGCCGCTGTCTGGCTCCAGCGACATCCGAGTGGCCTCTCGTGAAGCTCCTCTCCTTTTCGAACAGGGTGGGAGGCACTCAGGACGGCGGGTCTCACGACCCCCTTCACCCATCGGTAGAGATGGGTGAACTGAGGCGCGCAGGTCTCCGGGCCCGGCGGCGCGGAAGCCGGCCAGAGGGGACCGCCGAGGAGGCCCCAGGCAGGCCGGGCTTCGGTTAGCACGTCGGCTGTGCTCGGCGGGGACGGTGACATCGTTCGCTGCAGAACAGGCAGCTCGGCGCGCACCAAGGGAAGCACAGAGCGCCCGAAGCTACCGGGACGTCGCCGCCTGCCCAACTCGCCGAAGAAAGGCATCCGGTGCATCCATTATGGCGCCGACGGCGGCGGGAGAGGGGCAACTGAAAGGAAATGGCGCCGGGGCGCGCGGCCAGGCTCGGCCGGCCCAGGGCCGCCAGGGCCACTAGGAGGGCCGGCCAGGGACCCGAAGATCCTGCTGGCTTCTGGCACTGCAGACCCTGAAACTTTGACTACAACATGGAAGACAGTTATTGTCTCTGCTCGGCAGCCCGCACAAGCAGGCCTCAAGTTCGTCCCGCGGTCGGAACTCGGCAAAATCCTCTATTCTCTAAACAGAATGCGCTACGCATACTGCGCATCTTCGCAGTAGTGGGCCGGGTAACGACGTACAGAATGTTACGTCGTGCCGGAGGCTCTTCCCCCATCCCACTCCACGTTCGGGTTCAGTTGGCGCCAGAGCTCTACGCCCTCTCCGTACTCTGTTTTTCTTAGCCCGACCGCAAAAAGCGCCCATTTCCGCAACTGACGCAAAACGCTTCCAAGAATCGCCGTAGCACCCCGCGGACCCCCCTCGGGCGATTCCGAGACGCTGTTTACGTATCATCTCCGACGTACGTAGCGTTAAGTTGGAGCAGTCTCAGCGGCGGCCGCCATTTTGTGCAGTCGCTGGGAAGGAAGGAGACGCCTGAACCGCGGCACTGCCGGGTTTGAGCGTAGCCAAACCTACCCACCGTTTTTATAACCCCGATTCTCTGTGTTTTGCTCCCGTCTCCGACGAGAGAGGCGGCGACGGTGGCGTCTGCGACGGGAGACAGCGCGTCGGAGCGAGAGAGCGCCGCGCCTGCCGCCGCCCCAACAGCGGAGGCGCCGCCGCCATCGGTCGTGACCAGACCGGAGCCGCAGGCCCTCCCGAGCCCGGCCATTCGTGCCCCGCTCCCAGATCTCTACCCATTTGGGACCATGCGCGGAGGCGGCTGTGGCGACCGGGACCGGGACCGGGACCGCGGAGGGTAAGGGGACCGCGGGGGCGCGGAAGGCCAGGCCGTGCGCGCGGGGCGGGGGGAACAAGGCTCCGCGGCGGCGGCGGCGGCCCTGAGTGCAGGCCTCGCCGCGGGGTCCCGGGGTCGGCGGCTCGGCCTCACGGAGCGTCTCCTTGCGGGAGCCCGTCTGGGAGGCTCGGCCCCGCCCTGGGGAGCGAGCGGGAGGGGCGCCGCAGCCCCGCTGGCCTCGCCCGCTTCCCGGCCTCGGGACCCGGCCATCGCGCGGAGTCATTTGATCCGCAGGCCGCGGCCTCACCTGGAAGGAACGCGGTGGGTGTTCTTGGTCTGCCGAGGGCAAGCCCGGCGTCTAATGGCACCAGAGTCTGAAAAGAGACTCTTTTCCCCCCTTTGTTATTTTATTTATTTATTTTTGCACCCAGGGTCTCGTGCAGGCCCGGCAGGCGCTCCACCCCGGGCTGCACCCGCGGCCCCACCTCTGGTTTTATAACACAGGTTTTAACCGCGAGGAGGCACGTTGGGATGTAAAGGAGTGGACTTAGTTGGCATCCAAATGATTGTGTTTGAAGAGAGGGGTTGGGGTGGCGGTTTTGTACTTTTAATTTTTTAGTGTGCCTGTGATCCCATCTTTTTCATTTTCCCTCTTAATTGTACTGCAACATCAACTTCTCGGCCTAAAAGGAAGTTTTTGATGTTGTAATGCCATAGTTAACAACATAGTTGGACTTCAACTTGGGACTAAACCTGAAGTCCTCTCAGATCCAGAGATTTAAGTCTTTTATTATAAGTTTACAAAACGACCATGTTGCTTAAGGGATACAGGTATTTGCACAGTCATCTTTTTATTTATAAAAGTGACATTTCTGGTTAAAGAGCAGTGTGACTTTGGGCAGGATCCTTTTGTGGCCCTCTATTTCTTCATCTGAAGGCAGCAGTAATGCCTTCATTTTGTTGTGTTCTCAGAAATTAAGAGAATGTGGGTGGCGCATTTGTCTTGCTGCAGTAACTCTTCGGTTAATGATATTCTTTTCAAACATTTTGTCTTTGGTTCAGAGGCCCAACTATCAGCCTTACTTAGTCTCAGGGACTTCGCAGTTATCACTTAGGCCAAATAAAAATCATTTCATTTTATATATTGTTGGGAAAATATTTGATCTTAGTGCCTGATTTGAACGGGAGAGCTCCATGTTTAGCCAAGTTCAGAAGTGGACTTCAATACCACCACTAAGAAAACATCTGGGAAAATTGAAAAGGGACCCTCTCTAAGCTTTATTCTCAGTACATAAGACCTAGAGAAGTCCTCCCACATGTGCCCCAAGATCCATGTACAAAAATGCTTTTTACCAATATTGTTCCTGACACAAGGATATTGGAAACAAATGTCTGGATAAATTGTGGGTGTTCATATTTGAATACAATATAGTAGTGGAAAAGAAAAAAAACTTTGTTCATCTTGGATGACTCACAAACATGTTGAGCTAAGAGCCAAATTGTAGTAAGACAAGTTTAAGGGTATATAAATGTGATATAAAAACCAGGGGGGTAAGCTGGGCCCAGTGTTGCATGCTTATAATGCTGAGGCAGGAGGATTGAAAGTTAAAGGCTAGCCTGAGCTGTCTCAACCAGGCTGGGGTGGGGGTAGGGGTGGTTTATGCTTGCCTAGCATATATGACACTCTGGGTTCTATCCCCAGTACTGCTTAAAGAAAACACAAGGGAGAGGTAACAGAATTCAAAGCAGTGGTTATGGTGGGGGGTTTAAGCTAAGAATAGGCACATGGAGAATACCAAAATACTGGTAATGTTCTATGTACTTACCATGGGTGTTTGGTTTAACATTTCCTTTCACCATATTTATACTTTAACAATAAAATTATTTGAAAAAAGAAAGTTTCTGGTTCCTATTTTATCCCATACTGGGTTGTTGAGTATTAGATGACATTTAAAAAACAAAAGCTTTTTTTAAAAAGCCTCAAACAAGACAGCATTCTTCATAAGTCCAATGCCCTAACTCTGCTTTGCCTGAATTTTCCTTTATAATTTGAATTGCTATTGTTTTCATTCTTCACTAAATGTTACAGAGCTGAATTATTGTGCAGTTTTTAACAAAAATTGTTAAATTTTTGTTTGTTTGTTTGTTTGAAAAGGGGATGGATGAGATCAGCATGTGAATGGTCCAAAAAAGATTGCACATTTAAACAGGTGTGATTTGTATGTTGATAAAAGAATGTTGAAGTTTTAAGAGCTGAATTTTTTCATAGCCAAATAAACCATTTAATCATTACTGCTACTTACTTGATAAAAATATTTACTGAATATTGTAGTATATCCGAGAGTAGGATATGGGTACGTGTGATGGGTGGCATGGAGATGCTCAAGACCTCGATGGGGTAAAAGACTGCCTTGAATTTGGGGGTCAGCATTATTGAGGAGATGGCATATTTTCTAATAACTTTAAACTTCGAATTATATATTTAGTATAGAGTCATGTGTTTTGAATAATAAACCAGCTAGAAAAGAAAAATGCAAGTGGTCCTTTTAGAACAAGCCAAAAAGGAGGTCTGGGTACATAGCCCAGTGGTAGAGCGCTTGCCTAGTCTGTGAAAACCAAGAGTTTGATCACCATATTTGAATTTTTAAAGAAGTTTTGTTTGGGGGCTGGGGATGTGGCTCAAGCAGTAGTGCACTCGCCTGGCATGCGTGTGGCCCGGGTTCGATCCTCAGCACCACATACAAACAAAGATGTTGTGTCTGCCGAAAACTTAAAAAAAATAAAGATAAATATTAAAAATTCTCCAAAAAAGAGTAGTTTTGTTTTCTCCTGGATAATTTGCTTAAGGTTTGGATAACAAACACTGGAATACAGCAGAAACAGTGGATGTGAAGTAGGCTGACAATCGCTAGAAATTGGGTTTTAGAATTTTTATTTTCTTCTTTGCAAGACTAATAATCTAAAAACTTGATTTTATATTCCCCCACTGCCCCAGTGCTGGGGGTGAACCAGGGCCTCATCTATGCTAGGCAAGTGCTTTACCACTGAGCTAGACCCTCCAGCCCTTTTAAGTTGCTTAGGCTGACCTTAAACTTAGGTTCCTCCTGTCCCGGCCTTCAAGTACCTGTGATTAGAAATGTGTGTGGTGGTGCAGTTAGGTTATATTTCTTGAAATAGTACCTGTTTCATTTGCAAGTGGGGGTGGTATCCAACCTAGGTATTAAGCCTTAGTCTGAGAGCATATTAAAGATAGTGTAGTGTACTCTTTGTGTAAGAGTAAGTTACTCTGTATGTATTCTTTTTTCTCTCTGCATGTGTGGTGATGGAGATTGAACTTTGGACCTCATGCTTGCTAAGCAATTGCTCTTCCTGAGCTGTATCCTCAGCAGCTACATGTATTCTTTTTTTAAATAATATTTTGTTTTATTTGTAATTGAACACACTGTCTGTATTTTATTTTTATGTGATGCTAAGGATCGAACCCAGAACCCCCGCATGTGAAGCTTCTCCTCTTTTGTTTCCCGATTTCTCCTTACCTGTTAAGCAGCAATATAAATGAAATTAGCCAGATTCTGTCCATTGAGATACCTAGTGATCCCAATAAAATTTCCTGCCAGAAATGGAAATAACTAGTTATTCTCAAAGCTAAAGATTTCTAATAGTTTGAATTATAGGAAATTGAAGCTTCTTAAAATAGCTATTGCTGAAAATTCTGCAAGATGATATAAGTGAGAGTAGAAGCAACAAATTAGATTCAATACAGTGTTATACTTAATGTATATCAATTTAGGGAAATGAAGGCCTTCTTAGTGTTAGGATTCTTCTAGGAAAAGAAGCTTCTAATATATTTTAGGTTTAGCTAGTAGCCATGTTTATATTATTTAGCTTTCTTATTTTAAAAGGTATATAACGGGAGATTGTTTTTGTGTGATTTGTTAAATTTAAAAACCTTTATGAAGGCTGGTGCTGGGAGGCTGAAATAGGAGGATCACAAGTTGTAGGTCAGCCTGGGCAACTTAGACCCTGCTTCAAATTTTTAAAAGGGCTGGGGATGTAGCTTGGTTTTAGAGCACCCCATAGTTCAACCCAGTAGGGGGGGGGTGCGAAAAGAAAAAAAAAAAACACTTTAAAAAGGTTTATTGAAGGTTTCTTCTGTCAACTAATAGTACTGTTTGCTCAGGGTTGGGAGATGAGTAAAGATGGAAACAGGAGGAGGGAAAGCTCATAAATTTGATTCCTTTGGATGTTACCATAAACTGAATTTCAGTTTCAGGTGAAGACTGTCTTACTACTCTGCTTAGGTCCCATAGGCCTTTTCAGAAAAGGAAATGAAAAGTACTAGTCATGGAAGAGAGGAGGGGTCCAAGAAGCTGTTCTAAGATTTGGAGATTTGGTTGATTTTTTTTGTGTTTTTTCTCTCTGACCACAATCTTTTTGTAGATGGAGACAGTGCCTTTATTTTTATTTTTTTATTTTTAGTGGTGCTCAGGTGCCTCACCCATGCTAGGCAAGCAATCTACCACTAAGCTACAACCTCTGTCCTCCCTGACTGCAGTCTTGTCCTTAATTTAAAGCTTAAACTAATGTCTTCTATTACATGGAGTTGGGCATTGTAATGTATCTGGCACCAACTATTTGTTGAATATATTAATGCAACTAAGTGCTTGCTCTGGTGAGTACTGTTTAAGTACTTTACACATGCCATCTTCACAGCTTACACAGTTGGTGGTACTTCTCTTTCTGCTCTATATAGGACATTGAGGCGTAGAGAAGTAAATAATTTGCTCTAGATCAAACATTAAGAAGCAGAATTAGGGCTGGAGATGTAGCCCAGTTGGTAGAATGCTTGCCTCACATGCACAAGGCCCTTGGTTCAAACCCCAGCACCTTGCAAGGGCGGGGGGATTAAAATTCAAATCTTGTCTCATGCCAGAATGTGTTGTAATCCCTGTGGTATAGTTCTTTAAATATAGCAGTATGATTTTTTTCTGATTTTTATCATATTTATAATAGTGTTGATGGGTAGTAAAGGAAGTTTTAAAAAATCTTCTCTATCTTCAGATTCATGTATAAAATTATTTGGGGTTGGGGTGGGAAACTATAGAGTCAACGTTGTGGGCATTTTTATGGCATATAAGATATATCACTTGGGGCTGGGGTTGTGGCTCAGCAGTAGAGTGCTTGCATCACTTTAAATTAAAATATTAATGAACCAAAGACTGCACTGTGTAGCTTAGTGGTAGAGCACTTGCCTTACTAGCATGTGCAAGGCCCTGGGTTCAACCCCCAGCACTGAAAAAAGAATTTTTTAAAAAGACTAATGGACTAAAAAAATTTCTTTATGTTTCTAGATTTGGAGCAAGAGGTGGTGGTGGCCTTCCCCCAAAGAAATTTGGTAATCCTGGGGAGCGTTTACGTAAAAAGAAGTGGGATTTGAGTGAGCTCCCCAAATTTGAGAAGAATTTTTATGTGGAACATCCAGAAGTGGCAAGACTGACTCCAGTAAGTGAGCGAGTGTGTGTGGGTTTTTTATCTTATACAAATAAAAGTAGACATACTGGCTGGAGTGTACTTGTGTACTGCTATTGCTGTGTTATATTTTATTCTAGTGTATTAAGACTGGATACTCAGGATAGGGACCAGTTTAAATAAGCACATAATATATTCCTTGGTTCTCATTTATTGATTGTTTCCCGACCTATTTGTCATACGTGATTTTAACTGTTTTATGCTAGGTCAGGTCTTTTCAACAATGAAATACATTTTTAAAAAATAAATTGGCAGTGTATACTCTACTTTTAATTTCATTATAATAATTATTTTAGATTCTACCCTTGAAATGGCTTTTTGTTAATGGGGAAAAGTAATGAAAAGAGCACTTGGGCCAGATTTCACATTTTCTCCTTTTTCCTAATTTTGACCTTAGGCACATGTCGTTCATTCTGAGTATGTTTTCTCCTATGTAAAATGGAACCCTTGTTCACCTGTATCATTAACTTATAAAGTTGAAGTAATGAAAACATATATTTAGTTTTGTTAGTGTGAATTGGGAGGTAATTGTCAGCTGGATTGTAACAAAGTTTTGAATTGTTGAGAATAATTTATACTAACTAGAATTCATTTCTTTCTTAGTATGAGGTTGATGAGCTACGCCGAAAGAAAGAGATCACAGTGAGAGGAGGAGATGTTTGTCCTAAACCTGTCTTTGCCTTCCATCACGCTAACTTCCCACGTAAGTGTTTTTTAATTCAGAATCTTAATTATGGGTTGTATAGTAAACATGAACATTAGGCTATTTAAAGGTTTTGACATTGGCTCCGGATGTTGTTGAAAAAATATGTATAAAGCCTTTCATGAAGGTAATAATTTATTCCATGTTATGGCTCCAAAAATATGTAAACCTGCTCAAAGCATGCTCTTTTGTATTTCAGTTCAGGCTGAGAAAAGGTTTTTTTTTCCTGTCTTCCCCTGGGGTTTTTACCTCTGTGTATTACAAAGCAGAATAAAGTTGCTTTCTAACTGGAGTTAATATAAATTTGGCTCCCAAAAAAGGACTGCCCATGATGTTAGATGCTTTAGGATAGTGGTTTTCGAAGATAGCAGTGAACTTCAGGGCAGAGTTTTAGGTTTTTTTGATTTTTTTTTTTTTTTTAATAATAAATTTATTAGATGTAAAGCTGGGTAAATCTTTTTTTTTTCTTTTAAGAGAGAGAATTTTTTAATATTTATTTTTTAGTTTTTGGCGGACACAGCATCTTTGTTTATATGTGGTGCTGAGGATTGAACCCGGGCCGCTCGCATGCCAGGCGAGCGCGCTACCGCTTTAGCCACATCCCCAGCCCCATGGGTAAATCTTAAAAGCCTAATAAGTTTTTGTTTGTTTTGTGGTTTTTGTGGTTATTGTTATGGTTACTGGGGACTGAACTCAGGGTCACTTGACCACTGAGTCACATCCCCAGACTTATTTTGTATTTTATTTGTAGTCAGGGTCTCACTGAATTGCTTAGCACCTCACCCTTGCTAAGGCCACTGGGATTACAGGCATGCACCACCACCCTCAGCCCTAATAAGTTTTTAAAGCCTATTTTGTCTGCATTCTTAGTTTTATTTAAAAACAATGACATGTTTATTCTCTTACAGAATATGTAATGGATGTATTGATGGATCAACACTTCACAGAACCAACTCCAATTCAGTGCCAGGGATTTCCATTGGCTCTTAGTGGGCGGGATATGGTGGGCATTGCTCAGACTGGCTCTGGAAAGACATTGGCGGTATGTACCAGCAAGTGGTAATTATTTTAGTATCCTAATTTACATATACTTTTAAAAATATTTAATTTTTAGTTATAGTTGGGCACAACTATAATACCTTTATGTATTTAATTTTATGTGGTGCTGAAGACTGAACCCAGGGCCTCACACGTGCTAGCGAAAACTCTACCGCTGAACCACAACCCCAGCCCTGGCACATATACTTTTAATTCTTCATTAAAATGTAATTAGTGTAGGTAATATTTTAGCTGTTAAATGTGTGGAAGTGTTTTTAAAATTTACATTAGCATGAACACAGAAGTATTAAGATAATGGCTTGTTTTGGGGTTGGGAGTGTAGCTCACTTGGTAGAGTGCATGTCTCACATGCACAAAGCCCTGGGTTCAATCCCCAGCACCCCACCAAAAAAAGATGAAAAGATGGCGGCTTGTTTTTAATATAAGATTCTTGTTCTCCCCAGTATTTGTTGCCTGCAATTGTTCATATTAACCACCAGCCGTACTTGGAAAGGGGAGATGGCCCGATTGTAAGTGTTTCAGTGTGTTTATAATTTTAATAAAAACTATAATTATTGTATTTTAAGTTTTATGCTTTATACATGTTATCTGATTTTGTTCTTAATTCCACTCTCCATATCTGAAAGTGGTATTACCACAGTTCTTAGTTGCTCAGTGATGCTGTGAGAAATATAGAAAATATGTGAGATGGGTTCCCTGCTGTGTGGTTCTTAAAATCAGGTTGGGATTTTGTGTGTGTGTGTGTACTAGCCACATGTATTTTAAATGAGTGTGTATATTCTTGAGGATGTTTCAAAATATAAAAATGATATATTGCTTTGCTTTATATAACATAGTGTATTCTATAGAGATTGTTCTTTTATCACTAGCTGATATGAGTGGATCAATACATAGAGAAGGATTACTAGTTGCTCACAGTTTGTATAGTACATGTTTCAAGAGTCTTGATTTGGTATTATTTGGGCCAGATTTCATGTGATTCTGGCAGCTTACATGAACTGTTGTTTTTGCTTATGTACCCAGTGAAGAGAGCTTAAATGAGCAGTGTTGGCTCTGGCTTTTTTTTTTTTTTTTTTTTTTTTAATTCATTTGTATTTCTTGCTAATATTTAATCCAGTTATGTTGCAGGATATTTTTAAAACTGTTTGCTTGTTTTACAAGAGTTGTATAGTTAAAACTAGGTAATAAAATTTGTAAATCCATTTAAGTGGTACATATAAACTGTAATGAATTATAATGCATCAAAGGCAGGTGAGAATGCTACCAGTGTCATTCCACATACTAAATAGTGGATTATAATCATTTTTCCCTCACCCCATGGTGCCCTTCTACTTCTCTGTTGACCACGAACTCCGTCACATGATTTGAAAAGTATTAGATAGTAATGGAAGAGATATTTTATTGTATTTCACAGTTATTTATGGGTTTTTATTGTTATTGTTTTCTTACCCTGCAATGTCTCAAGTGGGTTTTTTGCCTATTTCAGTGTCTGGTTCTGGCTCCTACCAGAGAGCTTGCTCAGCAAGTACAGCAGGTGGCTGATGACTATGGCAAGTGTTCTAGATTGAAGAGTACTTGCATTTATGGAGGTGCTCCTAAAGGTCCCCAGATTCGAGACTTGGAAAGAGGTAATTTAAAAAATTATCAGGAATATTAGTTTATCTTACTTTACCAATTTCTGTGAATGATATAGAAGAAAGGAGTACGATGTTGTGGGAAAAAATCAGTATTTTAGGAACTTAGAAATCCTCCCGTTTATTAGCTATTTTGGGAGAGGAATTGCACCACAGCTGGAAAGTCTTAACTTTGTAAGATTTAATGGTTATGCAAGAATTCTTAATGAACTAGATCTTTTTTGTTTTGCAGGTGTTGAGATCTGCATAGCTACTCCTGGGCGCCTGATAGATTTCCTGGAGTCAGGAAAGACAAATCTTCGCCGATGTACTTATCTTGTGCTGGATGAGGCTGATAGAATGCTTGATATGGGCTTTGAACCCCAGATTCGTAAAATTGTTGACCAAATCAGGGTGTGTAAAACTGATCTTTCACTATCTTTATATTCTTTGACTATTGTTACAGTTCGTTAGCCTAAAAGAAAGCCTTTCCTTTCCTGATAGCCTGATAGGCAGACACTGATGTGGAGTGCCACCTGGCCAAAAGAAGTGAGACAGCTTGCAGAGGATTTTCTTCGTGATTACACTCAGATCAATGTGGGCAATCTCGAGTTGAGTGCCAACCACAACATCCTTCAGATTGTGGATGTCTGCATGGAAAGTGAAAAAGACCACAAGTATGAAAGAGATGTTACTGTCTGTTTTAATAACACTGATGATAATGCTCATAATGATCCAAAATTAAAAGTGAATCTAAAATTTTTTAGCCAGGCATGGTGGTGTATGCCTATAATCCCAGGAGGCTGAGGCAGGGGGATTGCAAGTTCAAGGCCAGCCTCATCTCACCTTAGTGAAACCCTGTCTCAAAAAGGATTGGGGATGTAGCTCAGTGGAAAAAGTGCCCCTGGGTTCAGTCTCCGGTACCAAAAAGAAAGAGAAACTAACTTTTTTTTTTTTTTTGCTTTCTACTAATTCATCTTTTGTGTCATTTATTGGAGCATTGTGGTTAAAGAATTTTTACTGTGATGTGAAAAGAAAGTGCTGTAGTTTGGGGAGTTAATATTGCAGAGATCTGCATAGTATGTGGGGAGGCCTTTCAAGCTGCATGATGACAGTAGTGTTGGTCTTTTTTTTTCAGGTTGATTCAACTAATGGAGGAAATAATGGCTGAAAAGGAAAATAAGACAATAATATTTGTGGAGACAAAGAGACGCTGTGATGACCTCACTCGAAGGATGCGTAGAGATGGGTGAGTATGGCACTGAGATAATTAGCCTTGGATTTTATAATTTCTAAACTGGTGGTGTGAATGTTGTATTTTAATAATGCCCCACATGCAATTTATTTTTTAAATGAATAGTCAGTCATCTTTTGCAGCCTAACAAACCCTAACAAAATTATGTAATAGCATTTCTTTTTTTTAAGGCTTAGCTTTCCTCTTTAAAGATTTTTAAAATATTGGTCACTTTTTTCCTGCTAGTTGGCCTGCTATGTGTATCCATGGAGATAAGAGTCAACCAGAACGAGATTGGGTACTTAATGGTAAGTTCAAAACTAAAGGGCCAGATAGTAAGTGTTTTTGGCTTTACAACCATCTGGTAGTCCCTGTTGCCACTGCTAAACTCTGCCACTGTAACACAGAAAACAGCTGGCCATAGACAACATGAGAAGTCATGGCCTGGCTGAATTCCAACAAAATTTTACTAAGTGGCAAAAGTAAGTATTTAAGAACTGGGTGTGGTGGTGTACATCTGTATTTTCACGATTCATTAGGCTGAAGATTCATTAGGCTGAAGTAGAACCTTCAAGTTCCCAGACAATCTATACACATCTTGTTGGGGTGGGGGGTGATAATAATGGTGTTTCTTCTTCATTCCACAGCTTTTTAAGATGTCCCCTAGCTTGTTTGTATAACTTGATTTTTCATTTGTTTTTTGCAGAATTCCGCTCTGGAAAGGCTCCCATCCTCATTGCCACGGATGTAGCCTCCCGTGGGCTAGGTTTGTATAGATAGGTGTCTGTGTCAAGGGTTTATGTATCTTTTTGGTTTAAAGATTTGTCATTTCAATTTAGAATTGTATAAACATCTGTTTAGTAAAAAGAGAAGAATATAAGTGTGACTCCCTCCCCCCACAGTTTTTTTTTGTTTTTTGTTGGTCTTTTTTGTTTTTTCCTCAAAACCTTAGTTGTTTTTTTGTTTTTGCTTTTTTGGGTTTTTGTTTTTTGGGTTTTTTTTCCTCTCCTTTTATTTTCAAAGTCTCTTCCTGCTCCTAATAAACAGGCTTTGGTCTGCAGCAAGGCCTAGGCATGACTATTCAGTTCGAGGGAGAGGAGACATTCACTTGAACAGCTTAACTTCTTCCTGGTTTTGCTCTGTTTTCTGGCTTTTTAGAAGGAGCCTGATTGAACCTAGCTATTGAAAGCTAGTTTCTTCAGTTATTACTTTCCTTGTATCAGTCTGTTATAGATAAATTATAGAGGCCCAATTCTAAATCATATTTAACAAACTTATAATATAGTATCATTCAGTTAAATCTATATTGCCTGGTGTAATTTACTGAAGTTAAAAAATGGTGGGCACTCAGTTATCTCCTCCTACTACTGTACTCATATCATAGATGTGATAATATAGAAGCTAAGAGCTTAATTTGAAAGTGTTTTTGGAGTTTCCAACTCACTATGATGTAAGGTATATACAGATACTCTGGTATTTTAGCCCATCATTTTGAGCTAAACAGGTCTGACTCAAAACTTTTATATTTAAAAACAATTGTTTCTGTTATAAGGAAATTTTAAAACGATTGGCAGGTGTTTGATTCCTTGTCTAGTAAGGTGAGAAGTATCATATTCCCTAATACTATTTAATGTAAAGAGGACACATAGTCAAACTGGAATAAAAAAAGTAATGGAGCCTTTTTGTCCATTGGACTTATCATTGCCTCCTTCAGAGGGGGTGACCTGCAGCCATGATGGAAAGTTGTCCCTGCCCTCTGAGGTCCTGTCTGGGTCTGTGCCGGTAGAACTTGGACCTGTTGGGAGAGGAGGTGGAGGCCTGAAAGCACTTTACTCAAAAGCTTTCAGTAATGTGGTTTTTAAACAGGCTTGCTATGTGCTGGTAGCTTCTTTGTGCATCTTGCCTAGACAATTAAAAATATTTGCTCCATGTCCCCTTGCATTTCTAAATCGAATCAATTGGCTACCATTAGAATAACTTAGACTCTTCATCCCCGTCCCCCTCATCCACATGAGGGGAGAGGGAAGGTACCTGAGTCTGTTTCTTGTTACTCAACATCAGTGCTTGTTTTGGGCCCCTTTGTTTGCTGCCTTGTAAAAAATCAAAAGGAGGGAGAAAACCCACCAAAATGGCAGAATTCTGACCAAGGTCCTACAAGATCCTGGAAAGTGAAGGCTTCTACCTCATAGACAGGGGTGCGATTTTCAGCTGAGTCACCAGGCCTTTTTTCACTTCCTGTCGAGCGATGATCTCTTAAATGTTCCCTTCAGGTAAGTTCTTTGATTCCCATAATTTTATAGTAATCATCCTCAAGGCAACCACTATTCCCTTTCCACTGGGATATTTTTTTATTTCTCCTTTTTGTTTAAACTACACGCTGTTAAACTAAAAGTATTGAATTTATTTTGTTTTGTTTTTTAACAGAAGCTTTGATATCAGCTGCAGATCCCTCAGTACATGGCCGAGGCAAATCTACATTGGCCCGAAGCAGCTCTAGATGGGCCTGTTGGCTAGCGTTAGACCCTCCCAATTAGTGATTGGAGATTCAGGCCATGTTCTAGGGCTTTCCAGACCAAAGGTTCTTAGGCAGCTGGCCAAAACATTAACTTTTCCATTTCTTACCCTGCTACAGCATCTTCTATAAAGGCAGCAAGATAATATTGTGGCAGTGCACAAATAACATCAGGGCAGGCTTGACTGGAGAAAAACAAATTCTGCGCTTGCTCCTGTGTGCCTTCGGCCAGCTATGTGCACACACAGGAAAGCTTTCTAGTGAAGAACTTGCACCATGTCTGCCCCGTATTGAGCCCCTCCAGAAGTACTCCCAAGTATTAGATCTGAATTGTTGACTGCAACCCCCACCCCATCCCCACCCTCAATGCCAGTGCTTTCTGCTAGGAAAGCATACTTTTGTGTGTTCGTGCAGTAATTCCACTTGCTCTGCTTCCAGGGGCTATACTCAGTGGGAGCGACTAAGGAGCATTATCCTAGCTCTGAAGATGTGGTCATGGATTATAATCCCCCCCACCCTCCCCAACCCTTGCCCTATAAATTTTTTTTCTTTGTGGCATCAACGACCCTAGCCTGAGACTCACGCTGCCCCCTGTGATAAGTGCCTTCTCGTCTTTCTGGTGTGATTCAGGACTTTAGGGGTCAGTAAAGACCGAGGAGCCTTTATTGTAATAAGAAACAGACATAATGCCCCTTCTTCACAAGCCCTGTAACAACAGCGGATTTTTTTTTTTTTTTTAAATCATCTCCCCTTTCCCCCTGAAATTAATCCAGTCTGGGCAATAGATGCAGTCTGACCCTTTGGATGTAACTTACATTTTTTTTATTACTTATTTTTTTCTACAATCACCCCCAATTACCTTGGGGGAGGCGTTGGAGGACCTGAAATTTTTACCCGAACCCAGGTTCTCCGGCGCTTGGCAACCAAATGGGGCTACAGAGAAGCATCTAAGCCAGTTCACAGAGCGAGCGTGTGTGGGGACTTCTCACTGCCACGGACCCTTGATGCATGCTCCCCGCGCTCCAGTGGTCCCGTGTCAGAAGGCGGAGTTTTCGAAAGGAGGCCGCCAAAAATAAAAGGCAAAGAGACGGGATCGGCTGCAGCGGTTTCCCAAAGGAGGAGGGAGTGTGCATCGGTCTGGTAACAAACAGAGAATGTTTTTTCATTATTTATATCACAAAAATCTGTGTTTTATCTAGGATATTTTCTGAATATTCTTTGTAAAATGCAGATTTTTTTTTCCACAAAACATTAGGATTCTGTTATATTCTTAAATTTGTTTGTTTTAAGTAGGTAAAAAAATACATTTAGCTGAAAGCATTACACTAACATTTACATACTGTAAGCATTAGGAGATTATTCAGCCCAATTCCCAGCAGTAGAGAGAATATTAAAACTTGTGTCTCAAGGTTTCTTTTTTTTCCCATGTTCTTTGGCTATTTATTTAATTTCCCAGGTCACATAGACGATCTTTGATCATTGAAACAAGTACTAAGCCTGAAATAACCTTGAGTTGGGCAAAAAACTTCATTTGACAGAAGCTGGGTTTGGTAGTATAGTGAAATTTTAGTGTAATGTGTGCTTGTGGTAATTCAAAAGGGGAAGGATATTTTTTTGCAAAGGAAATTAGGTGTGTACTTTGGCTCTGATCAGTTTGTTGTTTTGTTTTGTTTTGTTTTTTAATGTAAGAGCAAAAAAGAATTAACCTAAATGTTAAGTCTCCTTGAAAATGTAGTAATAAAACACATGAAGCTCCTTTTTTCATTTTGCTCTGTGACTGGTTCAAAGGTAAGTTTGTTATGTTGTTGGTAGATTTTTGCCAGGCTTCTCCCAACAGAGTAGAAGTGATTTGGCCCTGTAACATAACAGTGGTTAGCACTTGCTTTCTGTATTCCAGTTTTGGAAAGGATGGCACTGGAACTTGGTGGTCTAAGGACCAAAGTTGGTGCAGCTCCTGTCAGTACATTGGTCAACTATAGATGAGGCAGGAGTTTGATGGCTGGATGGGATTTCCTTAGAGTTCGATAGCCACTAAAGATGCCAATCCCATGCATGTCCCAAGAATCACTAATCTTCTTTTACTCTGTTGGGATGAGTCTTTTTTTGTTCCTGCTCAGAGTGGTTACTAACTGCACCTTCTCTCCTCTTGCTGTCATCTGCATTCGTGCTTCCCACCTGTTGTTGGCATGTCCTTTACCTTCTCTTTCCCTGCCACGTCAACCTACACGCTGACTCACCATTGACGTGGAAGATGTGGAAGATGTCAAGTTTGTGATCAACTATGACTATCCAAACAGCTCAGAGGATTATGTACATCGTATTGGCAGAACAGCCCGTAGCACCAACAAGGGTACTGCCTATACCTTCTTCACCCCAGGGAACCTAAAGCAGGCCAGAGAGCTGATCAAAGTGCTGGAAGAGGCTAATCAAGCTATCAATCCAAAACTGATGCAGCTGGTGGACCACAGAGGTGGCGGCGGAGGAGGGGGTAAGGGTAAGTCCTGGAGTTTTCCAGGTACTGCCAAGGTATCTTTTACATTTATTATGTCTTGGTTTATCTTTCTTTCTTTCTTTCTTTATTTATTTATTTAGGTGGTGGGGCTAGGGATCCAACCCAGGGCCTCATACATGCAAGGCAAGCACTCTACCAACTTAGCTATATCCCCAGCCCCTGTTTTGGTTTATTAATCCTGTGGAAGCTTTAAATATATTGCTTAATAACAAAGGAGAGTGCTTAGTAATTTTCCTGAATTTTTATATATTTTTCATATATTTAGCAGCACAGTATTTCTGTAGTCATATAAAATTGATCTTTGTGAAATATATGATACATGTTCATCATTAAGCTAAACTATTTTTTAATACCTTAAATGCTTAGCGTCTTACGTTTTCAGTTTCTATTTGAAGTCAGTGATTTTACAGAAATTGAGACACGGTTGTCTCTCCACTATTGCAGAATATACTAGGAGTTAGACTTCCTAACTCCAGGTTTGTTGTGTTAAGATTGTAGTCTTGGTCATGCTCAAGAAAAGAGCCTAGAACAGTAAAGTGCCTACTTGGGGGCTGACCTAGCTGAAGGTCAAGGACCTTTTTTTTTTTTTTTTTGTGGTGCTAAAGACCAAACCCAGAGCTTCACACATGCTAGGCAGGCACTCTACCACAGAGCCACAACCCCAGCCTATACCCTACCCCTTTATTTTTATATTTTTTTGTTTGTTTGTTTGGATCATAGGCTTGGCATTAAAAAATACATTGTATCTTTCCATCAGGAGGTCGTTCTCGATATCGGACCACTTCTTCAGCCAACAATCCCAATCTGATGTATCAGGATGAGTGTGACCGGAGGCTACGAGGAGTCAAAGATGGTGGCCGAAGAGACTCTGCAAGCTACCGGGATCGTGGTGAAACCGATAGAGCCGGTTATGCTAATGGCAGTGGCTATGGAAGTCCAAATTCTGCCTTTGGAGCACAAGCAGGCCAATACACCTATGGTCAAGGCACCTATGGGGCAGCTGCTTATGGCACCAGTGGCTATACAGCCCAGGAATATGGTGCTGGCACGTATGGTGCTAGTAGCACCACCTCAACCGGGAGAAGTTCACAGAGCTCTAGCCAGCAGTTTAGTGGGATAGGCCGTTCTGGGCAGCAGCCACAGCCACTGATGTCACAACAGTTTGCACAACCTCCAGGAGCCACCAATATGATAGGTTACATGGGGCAGACGGCCTACCAGTATCCTCCTCCTCCCCCTCCCCCTCCTCCTTCACGTAAATGAAGCCACTCAGTGGTGGTGACTCCTGCAGACTTAATTACATATAAAGGAACACTGTCTTTACTTACCCCCTTCCCTTTTTCTTTATTTTTTATTGTTTTTTCCCCCACCCTCCCAACCATTGTGATTTGTCTTTTCATGCAGATTAGTTAGAATTCACTGCCAGGTTTCTTCTGCCCCTGCTCCCCCCAATCCAGTCTATAATAACAGATTTTGTAAAAATATACATAATGACTGGAAGAGAAATTTCTTCCCCCAACTTCTTGCATGTTGAGGATATTTGAACTATTTTTCATCTTAAAAGAAAAAGTAAGGTATTAGGAGGTCCTTTTATGGGAGCCCATTTTTTGTTGTTGTCCCGAGTTTGTTGGGAGGCAGGGGGGAGGACTGGATTGTCCTGCAGAAGAAGATGGCATCTGTGCTGTGAATTACTCTCATCACTGGGTTAGAAAACCAAGAGGAATTTCCCTGCACATTTTCCATTATTTTTTTATTTTATTTTTTTTTAAGCATTTCTCAAGTTGGATCAGGGTTCCTCCCGCCTGATGAGTTTGGTTTTTTTTTTTTTTTTTTTTTTTTTTAAGACCATGCTTTGCCATTATCATTTCTGCTGATGGCTTGAGTGCATTTGACAGTTAAATATTTTTAATTGGTTTTCTCTTCTATTACTGTCTGCCTTCCCCTCTCCCAGTTACTGAAAAATAACCAGTGTAGTGTCAGGTTAGAAATTGCTGAGTGTCAGTTTAATTCTATCTTTTAATTAAAAACCACAAGGGTTAATGGCATTGGTTAAACTGCAGCATCTTGGCATTGGGGTGGGAACTTGCCTGTTTTTTCTTCCCCACGTAACCAGGGACCATCTGTGAAATTAATTTCCTGGCCGGACAGTTACTGTGAGCAAATGAATGCCAGTGCTCACTGGGAATTTAATTTTAAGTAGTCGAGCCTCTGCATTCACCTGCAGTGTGTAAGGAACCTTTAATGATTAAACATTGTATTCAAAATGGGCAGATTTTCCTTTTCAATTCAGTATTTGTAGAACTAGGTTAAAAGCATCTCTCTTTGCCAATCACTCTGCCCCTTTGGCCAAGCTATTGTGAGCAAACACTCTTAAGCCCCTCCAAGCTCTTCATGCCCTGTCCTGCGTGCTTTCTAACAGCTTCTGAAGGTATGCTGTCCTCAATATCTCTTTGCACTCGGCTTTTCACAGGTAGGTAGCTCTTAGGAAATGTTCTGGAGGACTCAAGCCCAAGTCCTTTTTAATATTCCTTTTTAAATTTTTTTCCATGTGAAGGTAGGTGGGTTGGTCCCCTTCATAGTGATATTGTCTTATTATTAAGGCTTGAAACAGCAGATGGACCTGGAAAAAATATTCTGCTTTCGTGTTCACCATAACCATAGGGTAGGCGGGCAGGCAGGCAGGCAGGCAGGCAGGCAGCCTGCCTGCTCCAGAAACCTCTTCCAGATCCATTGTGGTGGAACTGTTCATTTTTATGCTGTTACCAGTATCACAGTGCAGTTAAAGGAAAGGCTCCCCTGCATTCTTAGGCTATGGCCTGAACATGCTTGTTGGTTTGTAAGATCTAAAAATTGAAATACTTGAGGATTTTTTTATTTTTGTTTTCCTTTTAAAATCCTTCAGGGGGAGAGAAGGGATGGTTTCTGAGGGGTTCTGAAAGTATTGATTCAGTGTGCAGCATACCAGGTAGGTTGTCAGCATAAGCTGAAATGTGTGCATGTAAAAACTTTGGCATCCTTTTTTTACTTTCCACTTCCTCCTTTCCTGCTTTTTTTGTTCCCCCATCTTTAAAAATAGAGGCCGAGGATGGTAGGCACAGAAGAAATACGGCAAAACTCTTCTGTGCTTTCAAACCAAAGTGAGTGTCATGTGTCCCCCACACCTCATCCCATCCCTCCCCAAAGAGAAGGTATCTAAGCACTGATCAATCTCTTGTGGACATTTCTTTTTACAACCAAATTTCTGATTTTTTTTTTTAACATAGGAGAGATTTCACTACAGGGAATGCCCTCCTCTATTGCAGCTCCTAAAAACATCCATTTCAGGGAAAGGTCTGTGGGTACACGAGCAATATCTGGACTGCTTGCTTCCCTTTTCCATCAGGGACATCATAATCTCAAAATGAAAAAATAGCAAATTCCAAATTTCAAGAGTTCTTGTGGCCTGAGCACAGCTGAAATTTAGTAGTGTTTTTTTTTTGTTTTTTAATGTAGCTCTTTGATGAATTTCTGCCTCTATGTTGTAATTCAGGTTCGGCTCTTGCTTCAGAACATGAGCAGACAAATCCTCATCTGATGCCGGTTACTACATTCACAGTTGAAACTCATTTAGGGAAAGGGTTTTCAGTATTAAACCACAGGCCGCTTCTCCCCAGTCCCTCCCTAACAATTCATTGTGCGGACTTATCTCATCTAAAAGGTTGGTGGCTTTTGCTTGGGATCAGTGCTCTATACACATGTCCTTGCTGGTCTCTGAACACATTCCTGTTGCATTAAGACTTGAAAGATTTGTAGATGTGTGATGTTCAGGCACAGGATGCTAAGAGCTATGTTACTATTCTTAGTTTGTAAATTGTCCTTTTGATACCATCTTGTTTTCTTTTGTAGGTATAAATAAAAACTGTTGACAATAAGGTGTGAACTTTTTATTCCTTAAAATTTCTCTGAGTAACTCAGTATAGAGCTTTTGCTCTAAGATGTTAAGTTGGGTGGCTAATCTCCTTAAACACCTAAAACTGATTAGTTTTAGAGCAAGAACTTGAATCAAAACAAGATGAAGGGTACTTCTTGTAAATGCTTGTGTATCTAGCTCATCAGCAAAAGGGTGAACTTTGCTAATGGTGCCCCACTTGGGCCATTCCTTAGGGTTAAGGTTCTAAGTTCAGGGCTCCCGTGAACCTTAAGTAAAATTTAAGCCAAGTAAAGGGGACTCACAGAATGACGTCACTCCTTCCAAAGCTGGTGAATTTGTTTTGCTTATGGCTTGAAGTCCATATTAAAGTGAAATAGCTGGCTATAATCTTACCCTGACCAGTTTGGTCTCTTACAGTGAAGTTTACTACAGGAACATGCCTGTGATATAGCCCACTAGGTAGGGCAGTCTCCCATGGACATTGTACCACATTGCCCTTTCCAGGCAGGAGTTGTGCTAATATTAATCTATTCATGGATCAGGCACCTTAGTTTCTCTTTCCAGGTATAGCCAGGGCTTTAGGTTTGTATTTGGCCCCAGCTTCTTGTTAGCTCTTCTATTGAAGGAAGATCCTGATGATGAGGCCTAGATAGAATGACCAGTGTTTTGCTGAAATCCATTCTAAGCATTTTTCTGGCTTTAATTTTAATATTTGATCCCAAGTCATGGGTAGGTCACCAAGGAGAACAATCAAAATGGCTTGCTCCATGTCCTTATTAAGGTGTAGGTCATCTCTGAGGGCCCTCAGATTGGCATTGGAAGACTTAACTTCTTTCCTTTAAGTACTGGAAGAAAATGGAAATGAAGTTAGAATGTATTGCATGGATCAAAGGACTGCTTTGTAACCACATAATCCTGTCTCCACATCCAGCTCCAGGTGTTGAGATGTTAAGGCCATAGGGGAAGGGGTTTTCAGTGTTAAACCACAGATGAACCATGGACTTGCTGGCCTCCGTCCCTCTTAGGTTGTAAACTTAACTTTTGGCCTCAATGTTGTATTCTACCTCTTAAACCTGGAAAATGCAGCAGTTCCTTAACTAGCTAGTTCTGCTGCTCTGGCTTCTTTTGACCAACAGCAGTTAGAGGATTGGTTTTTTAAATGGCTCCTCCAGTCACTGCTCTTGATAAGTGCAGACCTCTTGCCTTGGCAGCCCAGTGACCTGACATCTCAGTTTTGTGGACTGGATCCTGCTAACCTGCATAATTAACATTGCACAAAGCTGGCTGATGCTCTGGAGTATTTCACCTGTATTTTCCCAACTAAGTCAAAGGTCATGGCTCTTGGTGCAGCATACTGAAAATCCTTGCCTTCCCTATTAGAGGGAACACTGCAGAGGGGAGCCCGGGCTCTCCCCTGTTCCTTGGGTACTATGGGATGAATGAGTAACGGCCAGAGCCTGCTGGTCATGCTTTCCTCCCAGCACCTACCTTTGGTCACATACAGGTAGAAGAAATCACAGTAGAAGATGGTTTGCACCACTCCTGACACCACCGCAATCTGGTCATAGAAGTTCTCGGTCTGGTACCGCCTGATCCAGTTGGCCAGGTAGAGGGCCCGGTAGAGTCCCAAGAAGAACAAGTAGTGAGTGGTGATGGTCTCGGCCTCCCCAGTCTTGCTGATCATGAAAAGCTGGGGCAGGATGGCCACTGACTCCAGGTAGATGGAGAAGGTCCAGAGGATCTGAGCGGAAGAGACAAGCACAAAGGAGCTCAGCGAGGCTAGGAAAGGGCCTGTGGCTTTAAGAGATGTAAATACATGTTTACTGGAGGGAATATATTCAGCAAAATGGTTTAAATTCACATTCTCAATAAAGAACTAAAGGAGTTGTGCCTCTGGCTCAGGTGGAGCCCTTGTCTAGTATGCTGGGTTCTACCCCCAGCAAACTGCACAAGTGGGCTTTGAGTTTTTTCTATTTCTGGTTCTGGTGACCTTGCATGTGTTAGGCAAGCACTTCACCACTGGGCTACACATCCCCAGCCCCACACTTCAATATTTTGTCACCTTTTTTTTCCTATGTAAATATAATTTTGATTTTTAATATTAAGACTATATAATACATAATGCTTAGAATTGAGTATTTCTAAGGAACATAATTTTTAAAGGTTGCAATTTTGCTAAACTTGTCATAATTGAAGCCAGAGTTTCTCAAAGTGATCCATAAATACCAGCATCAAGATCTCAGGCTTGTTGTCCACAGATTCTCGTAGCCATCAGGCCAGGCACACAGGCTTAAAACTTTGGCCTAAGCTTAGTCTAGGGATCTGCTAATCCTATGTTGGACTCAAGGTCTCAACACCCAGAAGTTGGCTGGCGCCACTGGCTCATGAGCCTCTTGCTGCCGCAGGTGTGCCTCTCTTCCTGTGGAGGACTGTGACAAGCTTGTTGCCATTTTCCAAATTTGGAACTGAACAGTCCTTGAGCAAGGGTCACAGAAGGCAAGCCCAGATGCCTCTGTGGGCCTGAGGGATGGATGCTAGGGGCACGTGTGGGGGATGTGGGCTCAGAGCCTCCCTCACCTCCAGAGGTGTAAAACTGTAGTTCTCCAGGAAGGAAAGGCCAATGACAGGGACCAGAAGAAACTCCAGGCGGAATGTGTCATTCTCGATGTCAAATGTTTTCCGAAATTTCCCATAGATCATGTACACTGTGACATAAGCACAGAGGAGGAAAACCACCTAAAAAGGGAAAGAGCCGTGAGAGCCTAGGAAGCCACTCCCCAGCCTGAAGCCTGCCAAACCCAGGGCTCGTGCCTGCCGTCTGGCCAGCAGGTGAAATGTGCTCTTGCAATCCGGAATGAACAGCCCTTGTGTAAAGTAACTCCACACTTCTAACTGGGACTGAAATGTGCGTCCCCTGTTGTCCCCTCCATCTGTGGAGTACTGGGCAAGAAAACAGGACCAGTATTTCTTAGGGGATGAGGCAGTGGCATTCTAGGGCTCCTAAAAAATCCTCCAGCTTCCTAGATCCGCATCAACGGCTTGCGAACATTCTCCCTCAGGCTGACCTCCCTGGAATTATTTGGCCGGTGTTCCTTTAGAAAAGCAGTCTAATTACCCTAGCTGCCGCCTGGCAGGTAACTTCATTCAGATATGTCCTCTAACCTCCTTGGCCACATGCAGACACTCAAGCGTGAATCAGAATTACCCAGATGGGTGCACACCTGCAATCCCAGCCACTCAAAGAGGCTGAGGTGCGAGGATCACAAGTTCAAGGCTAGCCTGGGCAAAAAGTAAACCTGGCTGAGGATATGGCTCAATAGGAGAGTACCCCAGGGGGCTTGTCTCAATATTGAAGAAAAAAAAATCCCATAGATGGGCTGCTCTGCCCCAGCCCCCAAAATTCTTCCTTTGCTTGTTAGATCTGAGAATTTTTGTTTCTTCTAGTTGTACACGATACCTTTATTTTTATTTATTTTTATGTGGTGCTGAGAATTGAACCCAGGGCCTTGCACACACCAGGCAAGTGCTCTACCACTGAGCCACAGCCCCAGCCCCTAGGTCTGAGAATTTGCTTTTCTAAGTTTCCAGCTGATGGAGATGCCGCTGGCACAGTGGCCTAGAGAACTTTTACCTGTCCTTCAAGACTCAAGTGACATAATTTCCTCTTCACTAGAATGAAGGACACTTGCTGTCACTACTGCTCCATGTGTAAATGTTCCCTGCAGCCTGGGCTCCTGTGTTCTGTAAATGTGTATGTATAAATCCTTCTCCCATGCAAGAGGGCTCACGGAGGGTAGGGTCCACCTCTGAATCCCCAGCTCCTAACTCAATGCCTGGAAGAGACAAATGCTGGAAAGAGCGGATGCTGCCATGGTCCCCTGTCTCACAGATGTGGAGACTGGCCAGTTTAGGATTCCTAGGTCTCATGCAGCCATGCTAAGGGCTGGTTCTGAAGTCTCAGCCAAGAATGTCCACAGCAGATCCTTGAGCAGAGAAATGGACTAGATAAGTGGCATCTGATATTCAGGTGAATTTAATTAGGTGATTTGAAGACCCCAGACTCAGGTTCACAATGAATGAGTTCAATACTCAAGGAGCAGCACCCTCCATCCTGTCAAGCCTTGTACCCAGATGCCTAGGAGGTGTCCCTTTGGGTTAAATACCTTCTAGCTTCTGTATATTACCTCATAATTTTCAGAACAGTCCTGTGACATAGGTAGGACCTTCCCCCCCATAGGACTTCTATCAGATAATGCACCAACTAAAAACTACACTTCCTGGCTCCTTGGCAGATAAGGACACTCAATGGCACAGGGTGGAGTTTGGGGAAAGCTCTTATCCAGCTGGTAGGAGCTCTAACATTCATTCTGTGGCCCCATGGCAACCTGGGTACCAACCTAGGCATCATACAGGACTAACTACATTGCCAGACCCACTGTCAGACTAAAATGCAGAGCCTCTTGCTTTAAAAAACAGAATTTCAAGATGGCAACATTAAACCAAGTGGGGGCCCTGCTGATCCACTGCACAGGTCACACACCTATAAGCCCCAGTCACACAAAAAATGGCAGAGCAGAAAGTTAAAAGGAGCCTGGGCATCCGTGGGGCTGCCAATCCCAGCCCTGGGTTGCCTGCCCCCAGATTTCACGTTATGAGAATGAAAAAATAAGGCCTTGTGAAGATCACCCTGAAATCTGTCACCAGCACCCCAGCAGTCCCGGCCCACATTGCTGACTGCACCTGTGCTCCTTCCACTAAACTGCGCTACTTAAAGAGCCAGGACGGTTCAGCAGAAGCAGGACAGTCCTCCCCCAACAGAAGGAGGGACACCTATGGCCAGGGCCTGGGGCATCGGGGTGGAACTGAAAAGCCAGTTTCTTCTGAAAACAGGGGCACACTTCAGAGCCACAGCTTCTCCCCAGGACATTACATCACACTGCCAGCCTGCACCCTGCCCTCCCCAGTCCTCTGCAGGCATCTCCACCACACTGGGTGGCCCTC